GTGTTTTCGCTCGTGAGTGTGAGCAGAAGGAGCTTAGAGGAGCGACTCGTGCTTGTGTCTCTGTGAGTTTTCAGTCGGGTTTCTGAATAATTGAGGTGGTTTCTCGTCTCGTGGGAGGCTTGAGATAAAACAGCCTGCTGTGAACTCCAGACCTCTGCTTTCCTCCAGAGACACGTGTGCAGCTGAGCTCATCTGGACTCCCAGAGAATAATGAGAGGAGCGAGAGTGTGTGTGTGTGTGTGTGAGAGTGTGTGACAGAGTGTGTGTGTGTGTGTGTGAGAGTGTGAGAGAGAGAGTGTGTGTGAGCGAGAGTGTGTGTGTGTGAGAGAGCGAGAGTGTGTGTGTGTGAGAGAGCGAGAGTGTGTGTGTGTGAGAGAGCGAGAGTGTGTGTGTGTGAGAGAGCGAGAGTGTGTGTGTGTGAGAGAGAGAGAGAGAGTGTGTGTGAGTGTGTGTGTGTGACAGAGTGTGTGTGTGTGTGTGCGTGAGACCCCATCAGTACCCACAATGCCATGCGTCTGTGTGTTTGTATTCAGACTAGCGGGACTCTATGTTAATGCAACATGCATGATGGGTAATGGACATTTACAGTGAATGAATAAATCAGAACACATGAAAGAAGCTGCTGTAATCTGTATTATCAGAGCTGTTTCTGCTCATCATCTCAATCATCCTTTGATCAGAAACACACGTCTTCACTCCACACACATGAACGCACGCGCCGTACACTCCGTGTCTCACTGGACATGCGGCATGAACGCTTCGAGACGGAGATTAGAGCGTCAGCAGCCTGTCAGTAATCCAACTGAAATCACGTCTGATCTGCGTGTGTGTGTGTGTGTGTGTGTGTGAGAGTGAGTGTGAGTGTGAGTGAGTGAGTGAACGTGCTTCAGACAACTTGTGTCGTCCGGTGTCACGCGTGTTTGTCCTGTGTGACAGAACTGGACTCAAGACTGTAACCGATACACACCAGACGAGTGCTTATCTGTGCACAACTCTCCACTACACTGCTGAGGGGTTGCCAAGGTGATTTGGTGTTTTGGGTTATTGCCAAAGTGTTGCTATTGTATTCTCAGTGGTTTCTAGGTGTTTGCTAGGGTGTTCTAAATGGTTTTAGGTGGTTGCTAGGGTGTTGTTTGTCATTGCAAGGCTGTTCTAAGTGATTTCTAGGTGATTGCTAGGGTGTTGTTAGCAGTTGCTAGGTTGTTCTGAAGAGTTGTTCGGATGTTGTTAGTGGTTCAAGGTGGTTGCTAGGGTGTTCTGGGTAGTGGCTAAGGTGTTGTTAGTGGTTATTACGTGGTACTAGGGTGTTCTGGGGTAGTTGCTAAGGTGTTTTAGTGGTTCAAGGTGGTTGCTAGGGTGTTTTGGGTAGTTGCTAGGGTGTTGTTAGTGGTTGCTAGGGTGTTCTGGGTAATGGCTAAGGTGTTGTTAGTGGTAATGGTGGTTGCTAGGGTGTTCTGGGTAGTTGCTAGGGTGTTGTTAGTGGTTTATAGCTGGTTGTTAGAGTGTCAGGTATGTGTTTTCTCTACATTATTCTAGTGCTCTAGTTTTCTGTTCTGCACTGCATGATGTTTGATGGTGAAGTGTGTAATTTCTGCACAGTCATCATCATCATCAAACACATTGACAGTAATAATAATGACTGACTGGTGTTTGTATCTCAAACTCCTGTGATCTCAGCTGAAGAATGAGCCGTCAGATCAGCTTAAGCCCTC